CGTACGTATCAGTTCAAAGTTCTTCCCTTCGGTCTATCCACGGCTCCTCGGGTGTTTACACGGGTAGTAAAATCCCTAGGTGCAGTGTTCCACGCGAGAGGGATACGTATTTTCATGTACCTAGACGACTGGCTCGTGGTCGCAAATTCCCGAGTGACTCTGTCGCATCATCTCAGCATTGTCTTAGACATGACGGAAACAGTAGGGTTCATTATCAACCGGGAGAAATCGGTTTTGGTTCCCACGCAACTTCCGCTGTATCTGGGGGTGCACATCGATCTTGTTCGTTCAGTAGCGTTCCCCTCCACGGGTCGGATCCGCAAGTGCCAACTAGCAATCACTCAGCTTCTTTCCCTTCCGCATTCCCCAGCCGAGTCGTGGCTGCGGATGTTGGGGTTTCTCGCGAGCCTGGTAGACCTAGTTCCTTATTGCCGGCTTCGTATGCGCCCTCTTCAACTGCATCTGCTCGCGTTTTTCTCTCCAGCGTCTCGGGACTTGTCAGCTCAGATTCCCTTGAACGCATTTGTCGCCAGGCACCTCCGGTGGTGGCTTCAGGAGAACGTGCTTCAGGGCGGGAAGTCTTTCCCCGACCCGTCTTTCGCTTTTCGGCCGACGCCTCCCTCGGGGGTTGGGGCGGTTGTTCGCTCACGGAGCGCGTCGCGGGGGACTGGTCGCTGGAAGAATCCACCAGTCATATAAACGTTTTGGAGCTTTTAGCAGTTCGTCGGTCTCTGGAGGCCTTCGTCGATCGGGCAAAGGGGAAAGCTGTGCTAGTTCATTCCGACAGTTCAACCGTGGTCTCCTTCATCAACCGTCAGGGCGGCACGCATTCACCAACGCTATGCTTCCATACATGGCAGCTCCTACTTTGGTGCCTCAGCCATCGCATTCATCTTCGAGCAGCTCACATTCCCGGCCGACTGAATGTCCTCGCCGATGCGCTGTCTCGACGTCGGTTACCTCCGGTCGTGGCCCAGAATATTTTCAACACGTTCGGGCGTCCCAATCTAGATCTGTTTGCGACGAGCTCGAACACTCAGCTTCCGACGTTTTGCTCCCGGTTTCTGGAACCAACAGCGTGGGCAGTGGATGCCCTGTCCATTTCATGGGACGGGTTTTGGGCGTACGCGTTCCCGCCCTTGTCGCTTCTTCCGAGGGTGATGGCGCACATCCGTCGCCACCATTGCAAGGTTCTCCTGATAGTGCCATGGTGGGCCCGCCAGGGTTGGTTCCCACTTCTGCTGAGTCTTCTCTTCGAGCATCCCCGCGTGTTGCCAGTTCGTCCGGACCTTCTTCAACAGGCCCGGTCGTGGGTCGGCCTGAACCATTTAACATCGCTGAACTTGACTGTTTGGCCCTTATCCGGGATAATCTCCGAGGTTCAGGCATTCCAGATGGCCCTGCCGCCCTCGCCGCCAAGTCCCGTCGGGAGACGACTCGCGCGATCTACAACAGTCGCCTTAAGCACTTCTTCCGGTGGTGCACCGATCACGAAGTGGATCCTATGTCAGCCTCTCTAGGTCAGGTGTGTCTCTTTTTGCATTATCTGTTTGAGTCGGGTCTCTTATACACATCTAGATGTGTATAAGAGACAGATCTGTAGGTTCTTCATTACAAGGCTTAGGCCAAAGGTAATTAATGCTGAAATTATTATTATTATTTTTTTTTTTTACATTAATTACATTACAATGATAGTTTGGACAAGTTCAATAACGCCGGAATGGTATATTATTTATTTAATAATATTTCTCTTATGCGCTCTATTTTTCATTTCATGCTTCAATTTTGTCCCATTTTTCCCCCCCCCCCCAAAAA